AAAAAAAAAAAAAAAATCTTCAAATTTGCTGTAATGTTGACTTTTGACAGCCTATTTTGAACATTTCATGTAAGTGGAATTGTATGACACGTGGTACTATGGATTTAGCATGTGCATAAAACCTCATGTTACTGTGGGAGCTGGTTGAGCACATCTGTGTAAATCTATTTTCCATTGTCTGTGGGCCTTTGAGAAGAGACCATGGATGTGAAAATGGGGAGCTCAAGGACAAACTGGAACCCTGAAGATGAACCAAAACCTATGATGACAAACTGTACTCTATGCCAGTCTCTCACTGCCTGTAAGTTGTGACCTGCAGAAAAGCTGGCTTGCTTTGGGGCTATACACAAAGTGAGCTCAGGATTTTGAGTCAAAGGAGGTCTGGTGGACTCCACCACTGACTGCCTTAGCTAGCCACAGACGCATGGCAATAGGCATGAGCTGCAACAGTGCCTCACCATACCCCACACTTCTAAGTGTAAGCACCTAAGCCTAGGTGCTTCATTTCTTTCTTTCTTTTTTTTTTAGAGACAAAATCTCACTTTGTGGCCCGGGGTAGAGTGCTGTGGCATCATAGCCCACAGCAAACCTCCAGCTCCTGGGCCTAGGTGATTCTCCCGCCCCAGCACACCACCTCCCACCCCCCCACCCCCGTCCCCCCAGCAGCCGGGACCACAAGCGCCTGCCACAACGCCCAGTTATTTTTTCTGCCGCAGTTTGGTCGGGGCCGGGTTCAAACCCACCAACCTCAGTATATGGGACCGGCCCCCTACTCACTGAGCCACAGGAACTTCCCTAGGTGCTTTATTTCTGCCTTCCAAATCCGTTTAAGGCAAATTTCTGCTGCAGCTAATACTAAACCAGCCCTGTGTGGAGAAAGGAATTCTGGGAAATGTAGTTTCAGCTTAGCTGAATTAACAAAATACAAAGCTACCAGTGTCCAAGTGTGATTAAGGTTTATCAAAGCCTTATGAATTCTTAAGAGGAGAAGGCTGATCAAGGCATTGTACTTAATCAAAAGAGGTAGATTAAGGTGACCAGATATCCTACTTTTGGCGGCACAATCTCGATTTTTAACAATTTGTCCCGCGTCCCCCGGTGTTTTAAAAAAGTCCTGATTTTGGAAAGAATGCACGACAAGCTAGGGAACAGCGGGAGAACGGAAGGGAATATACCGTTTTCAGCTGCTGAAAAGGTTAAGGTAACTCCATTTGGGAATGAAGAGGTTAATGTAACTTCATTTGGAAGTGAAAAGGCTAATGTAAACTCCCTACTCCCCTCCTGGGCAAGGTATCAGAAGGAGACTGCTTCCTCCCTTGCTTCTAGGCAAGGACAATTAGCTCAGAAGGAGCCAAACTGTCTGGAACAAACAAGTAGCCCCCACCCTCTAGAGTAAGGTGACCAGACGTCTGGCTTTTGGCGGGACAGTCCTGATTTTTAACAATTTGTCCCGTGGCGTTTTAAAAAAGTCCAATTTTTGGAAAGAATGCACGACAAGCTAGGGAATGCAGGAGAACAGGAAGGGAATATATGGTTTTGGGCTGCCATGTGGCTATTTCACCAGGATACGAGTTTTATATTATTTTTGTTAATTTTATAATGTTAAACTTTAATAATAACAAAAAGAGCTGATTATCAAGAAATACTTATCAAAGTTTGCATTTTTGTCAGGCCCCTCCCCCCGAGGCCCCGCCCTCCCCCCCTTAATGGCGTCTTGCTTTACCAATGTTAAAATCTGGTCACCTTAAGGTAGATATATATTCTGCAAGTTGGCAATTCTATTACTGGCTATAACCCCCACAAATCCCTTCTCCCCATCCTCTGGCCCATAAGGAGATGCACACACTGATGTTTATTATAGCATTGACCATGGAGTTTTACATACAATGGATCAGATGATATTGTACAGGTCAACACTACATGGATGAATCTGGAAGCTGTGCTGAAAAAAAAAAGCCCCTTTAGAATGAGGTATATAATACCACTGACATAAGGATGCATGCATAAAAAGGAATAAACACAATTTGAAAGACTATTTTCTGTTGTTGTCTCCCCTAAAATTTGTATGTTGGAGCTCTAACCCCCAGTACCTCAGAATGTAACTATATTTGGAAATAGGGTCTTTAGGAAGGTCACTAATTGTGGTTAGGTCTTTCAGATGGGCCTAATATGATCTGACTGGTGTCCTTGTAAGAATAGGACATTTGGACACAAACATATGCACACACAGAGAAAAGACCACAGCGAGAAGGCAGCCATGGCAAGCCAAGGAGAGAGAGGCCTCAAAAGCAGCCAAACCTGCTGGCACCTTCATCTAGAACTGCAAGAAAATGCAGCTCTGTTATTTAAGCTACCTGGTCTGTAGTATTTCGCTATGGCAGCCTCAGCATACTAGGCTGCTTGCTACAGATACACAAACACAATAAGTTGCTATGAATGGTGGGGTGGCAAATGGGAGTGGGGAGCAGGGAAAGAAGGTATGGACAGTCTAATCAAGTTTTGATATTCCCCAGGAGGAATTATCAACAATTTATTTTCAAAAGCAAGCTCACTTTTATTTATGACTGTGCATTACTGGGTTCCTGAGTGTGTGAGTCTCTGTGGGGTGACCCTGCACTGGAGCCCAGCCTTCAAGGAATGAAGCTCATGCTGTGTCCAGGTCTCCAAGGGACTCAGCACTTGAGAGGACCAGACTGGCCTTTCCCATGGTGGGGCAGGAGGGAGAGGTCTCAGAAGGAACAGATGCTCTGGGCAAGGGCAGAGTGGGCAGGCCACCAGAGACAGTGTATAAGCTTCTGGGTTAAGCTGAGACATGAGGCCAGAGGTGGAGTGTGAGGTGATGGGCTTGGAAGGACACAGAATGAGACCTAGAAACAGCAAGTTGGCGATGGAATCAGCATGTAAGATTAGAGTCAGGGAATGACAAGATAAAGATGAGAGGGCGAAGAAAGGTATGGGTAGATACAACAGAGTTGGGGCTGGAGATGACACATCTGGGACCTGAGGGAGGCTGGATAATGGTTCTTCAGAGATGGTCACCCTCTGATTTCTGGAATTTGTGAACATTGTCTGGGTGGGTCCAATCCAATCCCAGAAACCCTTAAAACAGTGATTTTCAGTTGGTGTGCTGTGGTATGCTGGTGTGCCATGGGAGGATCTTAGGTGTGCCACAAAGTATTTTAAAGATTATTATTTTCAATGGAAGTCCAAAGTACAGTAAGTATATTCTTTACTTTTTTTTTTTTTTGACTTTGTTGCCCTTGGTAGAATGCTGTGGTGTCATCATTCACAGCAACCTCAAACTCTTAGGGTTAAGTGATTTTCTTGCCTCAACCTCTCACGTAACTGGGATTACAGCCATCTGCTACAATGCCCAGCTATTTTTAGAGATGAGGTTTTGCTCTAGCTCACGCTGGTCTTGAACTTGTGAGCTCAGGCAATCCACCCGCCTTGGCTCCACCCACCTCGGCCTCCCAGAGTGCTGGGATTACAGGTGTAAGCCACCATACCAGGTCTTTCACCCCTTTTTTGATCAACATAATTTAAGTGTGGGATGGAGAAACACTGCCTTAAAAGCAGATAATTGCCGACACTAGAAGATGAAGAGGAAGGCATGAGAGAGGCAGGGCAGAAGGGGAAGTCAGAGTCTGAGTGGGAGATTGGATTGCTGGCTAGGAGATGTGGGGTCCATGTGCAGGAGACACTGGAGAGGGGCTTCTTGGAGCTAAGGGTGGGTGGCCCCCACCTGACAACCAGTCAAAAACTCAACTGAACTTTGGAAGTGGCTTCTTCCCAGAGCTGCCCAATGAGAGCCCAACTGGCTAACATCTTGATTTTGGCCTTCTGAAACCCAGAGCAGAGGGCCAGTGGAACCACCCTGGATTTTTGATTTACAGATCTGTGAGACAGAACATTTGTGTTGTTTTAAGTTGCTGACTTTGTGGTCATTTGTTTGGCAGTAACAAAAACTAAATGCAGGGGCCAAGTGGACAGATAGGACTGGAATGAAAGAGTTGGGGGCTGAGAGGACAGACAGGGCTGGAGGTGATGGGGTTGATGATGGAGTACGAGATGAGGCTGGAGGTGAGAGAGTTTGTTAATCAGAAGATCAACAGGGTCTGAATGAGAAAACCAAACCTGGAGACTTTGGCAAGGGCTTGCACAACCAGATGTCATACTCGGGGATAGGTATCAGCTCATGGACAGATCTCGAAAGGAGATGGTGTTGCTAGATGTATGAAAAAACTTTATTTCTATATGGTACTTGGAGAAGGGGTGGGTCTGGCAGGGGGTACATGAAGATGCTTCCTGGTCCCCACCCCTATAGCTGCTGGGAGGGCCTGAGGATGTACAGGAAGTGGGTTTTGCGGACAGGCAACTTGGAGTGGGGGGAGTCCTGGGTCCCTTCTTCCAGGACATCCTCACGGGTGCCCTCACGGAGCCCATCCCGGATGGCCTGCAGTCGGTGTCGCTTCTCACTGAGCCAGCGGCTGCCCTCTGGGGAATCCTGGTGGGATCTGCGCCGTGGCAGCTTCATGATCCAGAAGGCCACCCGGGGATGGGGTTCTGGATGCAAGCTCTCCATGGCCTTCCGGATGGGCACCAGAGCCTCCTTCTCCTCCATCCTGGGCACCTGGTAGGAAGAACAAGGATGCTTGAGGTTCACTTGAGCCCAGGAGTTTGAGGTTGCTGTGAGCTATGATATCACGACACTACACCCAGGGTAACATATTATAATAATAATAATTTCCCACAAGACCCATAATACTCAGGAGATGCTCAGTCCTCACTGGCTTATTTGACTCACTTTGCAGCTGACAGGGTGCTTTGGGCATTAAAAAGCCCTCTTTGAGGTTTACATGTTCAAGCTAAAAATATTCTGCGGTTTATGGAACATTTTGGGATTCAAAATACATTTGGGGAGGTTTCAGAAGGGAGGTATAAACGGAGCCCTTCAGGGTTTATACTGCCTCTTGGGATTACAAAGCACTCTAGGATTAAATACTCTCTGAGAAAGAGAAAGTAGCAGTTTGAAATGTACAAAGTGCTTTGGGACTAAAAGCTTTTGGGTTTATTAAAGAATCATGGCCATAAATGCAATGTGTTATCCTTGATTGAATCCTGGATCAAAATTAAACCAGCTTTCAGGACAGCTCTGAGTCAAGGGAGGAAATCTGAATATGGACTGAATGTCTGTTTGGTCCTTGCTATTCAAAGGGTGGGCTGTCGTCAAGCAGCAATGAAATCGAGGTTCACCTTCTTATGTGGTCTGAGAAGCCCTGTGGGAGGTTGTTATGAATGGAATCCTGTCCTCCCCAAATTCATATTTTAAAGTCCTAATTTGTAATACCTCCAAAAGTGACCTTATTTGGAAATAGCATCATTGCTGATTTAATTAGTTAAGATGAGGTCACTAGGTTGGGTCCTAATCCGATGTAACTAGCGTCCTTATATAAAGGGGAAATTTGTTTTTTGAGACAGAGTCTCAAGCTGTCGCCTGGGTAGAGTGCCATGGTGTCAGCTCACAGCAATCTCAAACTCTTGGGCTTAAGTGATTCTCTGGCCTCAGCCTCCCAGGTAGCTGGGACTACAAGTGCCCGCCACAGGGCCGGGCTATTTTTTGTTTTCACTATTGTTTGGCAGGCCCAGGCTGGATTTGAATCTGCTAGCTCTGGTGTATGTGGCTGAGGCCCTAGCCACTGAGCTACAGGCTCCAAGCCTGTTTGTTTTGAGACAGAGTCTCTCTTTGTTGTCCTTACCAGAGTGCCCTGGTACCTGGTGTCATAGCTCCCAGCAACCTCTAACTCTTGGGCTCAAATGATCCTCTTGCCTCAGCCTTTTTATAGCAGGGACGACAAGCACCTGCCACAATGTCTGGCTATTTTTTTTTTTTTTTATAGAGACTAAGTCTCACTTTATCGCCCTTGGCAGAGTGCCATGGCGTCACACAGCTCACAGCACAACCTCCAACTCCTGGGCTTAGGCGATTTTCTTGCCTCAGCCTCCTGAGTAGCTGGGAATACAGGTGCCTGCCACAACATCCAGC